ATCAGATTACTGTTTTTGTTCACATGAAAGGCAAACATCTGTGTTACAGTATCGTATCATCTATATATATATATATATGCAGTTTTTGTTTTTCTGATTTTTCAGTTCTGGGTTGTTTCTTTTCATTGGTCAGTGTGTGTGAACTGTGAAACCTCTTAGCATTGTGTCTTTCTGCACATTCTCGTAAATCTTCTTCACATGAGATATTAGTGTACATATTTGTTTGCTACAACTTAAATGATTTATTCATGATTTTTTTAATTTAAATTTTGTATAGTTTATGTTTAATAACTTCAATTTAAAAAATTGATTATCCTAAACATGTTTTAAATTCTCTATATAAATTATCAACTTTAATTTATAAATTAGGAAGCATTGTACATGAAGAATATACGAAAAGTTGTTGGATGATTATGGACCAATACTCTACATCATTAGGCATGTTATTCTCTCATTTCTCAAAAATAAACATGAAAATAGTAAGTTTCATCGCACTAATCAATAAAATATAAAATCTAAGTTGGAGCGCCACATGTATATATACCCTGATTACTATATATTTTTTCAAAAATTACACATACTATACTAGTTTTTCTTTTGGAACGTGTGTTAAAGTTTTGTGAATACAAATTCGTGTGTTTGATTTTAATTTTTTGAATTCAATTTTTTAGAAATTGATTTTTTTTTGTTTTTAGTGAATATTTTTAAAATTTTAAGCAATTTTTTTTTTTTACTTTTTTAGATGTACCTTACTTAGATGTATCCAAAAAGTAAAATATTTTAAAAAATCAATAAATACACAGGAATACAAAAATATACTGAATTCTCGTTATTTTTCTTTTATATTTTTGGTATTTAGTGAATTTTCTAAAAAAAAAAATTTACAAATATTAGATTTTTTAAGTGTATTTATGTTAGGTGTATTTGAAAATTAAAAATTAAAAATTAAAAAAATTGCTTAAAATATTAAAAAAATTCAGTAAAAAAAAAACAAAAAATAAAAAATTTTAATTTTCTTAAAACTGAATCTTGAAAATCTAAAACCAAACAAGCTGAATATTCTGCCCTTATATATATAGTATTTATTTAGCTTGCATTGAGAGTGAGTCCGTGAGTTGAGTGCTTACTTTCATAAAAATAAAAGGTAGTAAATTTTGGAGTATTTGTTGAATTTGTTTGACACAGACAAGACTCAGGCCTCGTTTGGGAACCCTTCATTAAAGCAACAGCTTCAACTTTGTATATTTTTGAAATTTATAACTTTTAGCAACTTGGAAGTAGTGTTTCTTGAGCTAGTGAATCATATTTATAGCTTTTGGACCACCATTTTGATATAACTTACGTGGAATCGTAGCATTGATATATTAAGCCATCTTACCATCTCATTGAATGTGATATTTGTGATCACTGATGAGCCATTTACAATTCAGATATCCCTTTACATAATATTGTAGCTCTCATGGTCGCGCGCAGATCAGGTTTTCAATGCCATCCGTAGGCCAGATTGTCAATGCCAATCGCAGGCCAGATTGCCATGTTGCCAAGGCCGCACGCAAGCCAAACCGTCAATGCTGCCCACAGCCACAGGCCAGGTTAACATGCTGCCAAGGCTGCGGGCCAGCCAAGGTCGCCCACAAGTCAAGTTGCCAGGTTGCCAAGGCCGCGGCAGGCCAGGCAAACCATCAAATAAAAAAGATGAGTCAGCATATCTTGCTTATAAAAATTTTCGTTACGTGATTGATTTGCAGTACCATGTGATACTGAATAATGTCAATCAATAAATAAAATTAAATCGTATCTAGAAAATTATATCATTTTAATATTGTCTATGTAGTGTTTCTAATCAATGAAAAATTATAACAAATTGAAGTCAATTTGTCTCAAAAAAAATTTCGTTACATGATTAACTTTTTAAGAAACACTATGGTCAACATCATTCACAAGGTGTGCAAAAAAATTACATAATTTTATATTTTCTGAATCATAATTAAAAATAAATAAATATGTTATAACCAAACACAGCATGGGGCATAACTAAAGAATTTATGAATCATAACTAAAATAGTATTATAAATAAAAAATAAAATAACACAACTAAATATGCATATGGTGCACCTTTTCAAAGATTTTGATCAGATTTTATTTTCTTTAGTGAAGACCATAAAATTGAAGTTAAAAAACTGGGTATCAAATTTTTTATGCTTTTTGTCATTTTATTTTATAAAAAATGTGAAAATTTATTGAGAATTGAAGATTTTACTATAAAATTAAATTTTTGTATAATTAGGTAAATTTAAAACTTTTAAATATCATTGTGTTCTTTATTTTTATTCTCTTTCTATTCCATTAGACCATTACTGCTATTTGTTATTTTGTTAATTATAATTCAATTAATTAAAAATGAACGCTTAATATAACTTTTCATATATATTATAGTTAATTTGTTACAACTATAGTTGTATATAATAGCATAATATATAAGGATAATATTTAAATATAATTTTTATTTTTTTTTATGTGTATTATGTTCGTATTGTATTTTTAGTTATGAAATTGAAATCAAGAAATGTAACTTAAATTATTGAATTAATAATAGAAATAGCATATTAATTATTGTTAAATATCACTTCACTTCATATTTAATAATAAAATTATATATTTTTTTTAATTATGACTTTTAAATTTGTATATTTTCATAACAAGAAGAAGTATGTTATAACTCAATTAATCTCATTTAATTAGGATTAACTTTTTTTTAGTACAAATTATCAAAATTGCACTAAATATATATATATAAATAATCCTTCGTAACTCGAATCTCTTTCCCCCGAATCCCCCAATTGCCCAAAACGACGTCGTTTTGGGCAGTTTTTTTTTTAAGGTCTAAAACAGATAGAAGAGAATGAGAAAGAGAGAGAGAAAGAGAAGAGATGGAAGAGGAGATGGTCGCCTCTGCCGCCTCCGATCATCGCAGCCCCCGCCTTCGCCTCCGATCGTCGCAGCCCGATCGAAGGATCTGTGATGATGATGATGTGTTGGGTGGTTGATGATGATGATGATGGGTGGTTGATGATCTCTCTGTCTCTCTCTGCTACTCTTTCTTCTTCTTCTCTTCTTCATCTTCTTTCTTCTTCAAAAAAAAAAAATAAATAAATAAAAATTCAAAACGACGAAACGACGTCGTTTTGAATTCGAGGGATTCGGAGACCCTCTCTTTCGAGCTACGTAGCACAATTGATATATATTTTTTAATTTTTTTAAACTAATAATTTAAAAAATTATAAAGATAAAAATTAACTTATAAATTTCATGTATATCATAAGATAAATTATTAAATTATTTCAAAATAATTATAATGATTTTTTTTTTAATTTATAAAGTCTCGTGCATAGCACGGGATTACCGCTAGGACAACTAATTTAAAACTATATTCTATATTCATAAATGAATCCACAAAATGTCATTTTCTAGAATGATAATTATTTATGACGTTTAATATTTTAATTTTTTTTTTTTTTGAACATTATTGCAAAGCCCTTTCCTTTGTGGATAGACTCCTCTCCATATCTCTTCATACTCTTCTTGTGGGCTCTAATTCAGACCTATACCACTAATCCGAATAGTCTATCTCGTACATTTCGTTATAAAGGTCATTCAAACAAAAAATAAGTTTCATCAGAAAATTATAAACACAAGAATTGAAAACATTTTATTTTATAAAATGAATTGTTGAAATTGACAATCACATTTGTTATTTATCTTATAAAATAAAATGCCAATTTTTTCTTAAGTTTATAATTTTTCGATAAATTTTATTTTTTATATGAATAACCTTTATTTTAAAACTTATAAAACAAACAGTTCAAATCATTAATATGAAACTAAATTAAAACAAAAAGAATATAGAGAAATATGAAGAGATAAAAGTACGAAAATGGCGTCGCTTGCTCCATTAATATTGACTATAGTAATGTCTCTAATCTTTCTTATATGACACGAAATTATTGATCTGGCATAAATTATTACAATATATTAATCACAAAATAATTTTGCTTTCAAAATGAGGACTTTATCACGTTCATGCATTGTCTGATGTGAAATTGTGTCTTCCAACAAGACAAAATGATCAATCAAAAACAGTAAAGCTTTTACTTGTTAATAATGCCCGAGACTTCTGATGATACACAAACTAGTTTATAAACTCTCATTGACAATCTCTGAATAACCGTTTTTTGGTTTAAAAAAGACAGAAATATAAAGTATGAGAATATCTAAAGATCTTTGTAAAGACGATTTTAACTTTAATATTTTGAGAAACTTCACGGTGGTGCTTTGGTTATGTTAAGGCTCCATAATATTATAAGAATTATATTATAATGTCTCACAAAAAAAAAAAAAATTATAAAGACTTACAAAACTTTCTTTACAATAAAAAAAAAAAGTTATTTTTTCAAGCAATTACCAACTCATCAGCTTTTTAAAATTCTGAAAAAAGCAAAAAGCAAAAAAAAAATATATATATATATATATAAATAATTGTCAAAAAAGTGATATACAAAATTTAATACGGACATTTCATTTTAAAATATAATAATGACAATCATAAGTTCTATTTATAAAAATGACATTATCGTATTATTTTTATGATATGTTTTTTTTGTATAAATTTTTTAGATTGAGTTTTCCTTTCACTAAATGCCAACACATAGGTTCTGTTTGGTACGCGGTATTGTCAACATGTCAAGGCATCTCACATCTCTATTAATAAGGCCATGGAAGCATTATCACGTAAACAAATCGCAACACGAAGTCCCTACAATTTTAATTATTTAATAACATCTTAAATACATTTTTGATGACATCAGAACAATCCATACAAGAATTAACAAAATCTATAAAAGTGCTCAAACAACCACTTTTTACTATGTTAATTTTGAACTCTCAAACAAAAGATAACAATATATAATAAATTAAATGATTGTATACTGAAATCTACTAGAAAAGTTAAATACTCAGAATTTATATCAAAATTTTATCTTAAAAGTTAATATGTGTTATATGTTCAATTTACACTCGAAATAAATTTAGATCACATATTAAAATTTTAAAATAAATTTTTATAAAAATTTCTGAACACGTAACATTGCTGCAATTCAAATTCTATAGCTATACTTGCAGGAATAGATGAATGTCACTGGATATGAACCCAAATACCCTCACTGGGTATTTCTTGATGGACCACAAATAATAGGAAGTACCCAGATGGTGCGAAATTACCCGAACCCGGTGTTATAACCCGAACTTCATACGTAGATTGTCCTAGTGTTGTCACATTACCTCCACCTAACACCAGGAGTCTCTGGTTCATGGAAAATGAGTGTGTATTAAATGATGGTGCTACCATTGTCACAGACAGCATATTTCCATTTACTGTACCCGTTACCGTAAACCAAACCGCTATCTGTTGGCCATACCCGAGCTTAGTCTGAGAAACGGGTTGAACAATTTTCGGACGCAAATCCGCGAATTCTGAATCTAAATACGATGGCGAAAAGGACTCCAAGCTTAATTCGGTAGGAAAAAGAACTCCAGTAAAATTATAATAGATATGTGGATTGCTACCGCCAACGAGAATCCGACCATCACGGAGCAAAATTGCAGTGGAATGATACATCCGGGGTATGGTACTCGGGTTTTGAGTCTCAAACCGAGACTCAATTAAATTATCGGGTTTGTAAATAACCGGGTTTAAAACTGGATTCCTACCATATTCCCACCCGGCAGTTCCCGCGGACCCACCATTAATAATCAAAACGTTGCCGTTTGGAAGCAAGAGCATGTCACCCATGACCCGAGGCAGAGGCATGGACTCCATGACCCATTGAGGAGACGGGTCGGTTATTTTGATCCGGCCGCAAGTCTTCAAGGCTTCGAGAAAGTTTCCACTTCTAGCGCTGGTGTAGGCTCCTTTCGGTGCACCCCCACAAACCAAAACCTCAGCTTCAATCAGCGGACCTTGCAAGTCCTTCAATGGCAGAAGAACCGCCGACCCAGTACTCGGATAACACCGAGGATTGCTGTCTGGAATTTGCGGATATGTCTTTACAACAACATCGTTGATATAATCGAACAAAATGGCTCGATTGTTGGCGAAAATAAACAAGTTTCCATCGACATTGAGGAACACAAATGGGTATAGATTGTTTTCCACCTTCGGATCACTAGTCTGAACCAGAAATGGCAAATTATAAGCCTTTTTCGCGGAACTAGTTTTCGGGTAAAACTCGTAATTAAATTGTCGTCGACCTCCAATTATAATCTGACGGCCATCAGGCAATATCTGATTCGTGGCGTACCATCGTCGTTGGATCAACCCAGATTGAATTTCCTCCCAATCACAATTTCCATTCCCATTACATGGGTGATAAATTCTGACCACATGATCACCATCGTTGAAACCTCCAGTCTGAATCAGACGGCCATCGGGCATTAAGGCGCCCGAGGAGCACCATACGTCGGTGAGGACCATGAGGGGACGAATGCTGTTCGATGCGACGTCGTATTCGACGGAGTGAGCAGTGCAGTCGGTCTTCAATGCAGTGTCGTTTGGGTCGACTCGGCATTTGCCGTTGGGTAAGGAGATGTTGGAGCGGCCGAAGTCGGTGCGGTCGAAGATTACGACGCGGTCGTTGTTGAGGAGCTGCATGTGCATGGCGGCGATGCCAATGTCGGGCTTGAGAACGGCCCATTGGGCTCCGGCGGCTTGGGTCAGAGTCCGGCGATATGGTCCGCCGGCGAGCATGGCAATGTGCCAGAGGAAGAAGGAAAGAATCGAATTTGGACTCATCAGTTTTTTTTTTTTGTCTTTCTTGTCTCTCTGGGCTTTGGAGAGAGAGAGATAGATGAGTGAGAGACTGTATGTGTACGTATTGGAATTTGTATAGAGAGAGAGAGAGGGGGGTGGGGGGTTGGGTGCTTTAAATCCTGTTTGGTTCGAAGATGCATGGAGAGAAGTTAAATTGAAAAATTATTGAGAAATGTTAGGGATCATGAAAATTTTTTTATGAAAATGATCATGAAAATTTTGTGACTCTTAGATTACCTTGATTAGTGTGTGGTGCTTTATTCTAAGTGTAATCCAAAGGTCACAAATCTTTCATGATCATTTTCATGAAAGACTTTTCATGATACCTAGCATTACTGAAAATTATTTGGTGATGTTGGGTGTGTTACGTGATACTATCTTTTATTATAAATTTTTATATCTTTTTATGTTTTTTTAACTACTAAACACATATTCATAAATTTCACTTGTTTCGTCAATTATAATTAGTGTGTTTGGTTTAAGTTTTTTGAATTAATTTTTTTTTAAAATTAATTTTTTTGATTTTTGTATTTTTTTTTAATTTTTAGTGAATATTTTTTAAATTTTAAATATTTTTTTTACGTTTTAGATGCATCTTACTTAGATGTATTTAAAAAATAAAAAATTTGTGAAAAAATATTTTAAAAAATTAATAATTACATAAAAATATAAAAAATTTACTAAATTCTCGTATTTTTTTTATATTTTTGATATTTAGTGAATTTTCAAAAGATTTTCTTTATAATTTTTTTACTTTTTAGATACATCTAAATTAAGTATGTCTAAAAATTTTAAAAATTACTTAAAATATTAAAAAAATCAGTAAAAATAAAGAAATACAAAAAATAAAAAAATAAATTTTTTTAAAAAGTATTTTTTGAAAAGTGAATGCCAGCATAGTGAATATCATTCAAGTATCACAAGATGGTAGCCTACCACAAACTAATAACTTCTCAATTATATTGCCACACGCAAGAATACGCGTGGAAATTTATTTTTTATGATAGGATAAATTATAAATACATTCTTTGAGATTTATTTAAATTATAAATTATTTTTTGTAATTTTAAAAATTATATTATGCCTTTTAAGGTTTCTAATTTCATAATAAATAAGTTCTTTTATTAATAAATCATCAAATTAATAATATTAAAAGTTTATTTCAATTAATAATATTAACCGTTTTTAATAATATTAAAATTTTATTTCAATTACTAATTTAGATAATTTTATTATTGTATAGGTGAATAATTAGAAATTTTACTTTTTCAATTAATTCGGTTAAATAAAAAATTCTGACAGAAAAATATTTGTAATTTTTCAAATTATAAGAGCAATTCGATAATAATATATATATATATATATATATTTTCAATTTAATATATATATTTTTATACATATTATTTGGTAAATTGTACGGTCCAATCTAGTCATTTTTTCGATATCATTTATAAAAAAATTATATGATTTGATAACAAGATTGAGCTTGTACCTCTTTGGTTGGCTTTACCCTTCGTTTGGCAATTATTTTAACCCAAAAAAAAATTAAAATTAAAAATTAAAAAATTAATAAGAAAAAATACCACATTCAAATTATAATCATTTCATTTTTTCTCTCACAAAAGTCAAAAAGTCTATTCCAAACGAGATTTTTTAATCCCAGGTAAAAAAAATCAAAAAGCTAACCCACATTCCAAACGAATAGTAAATTGGCATGGGTTTGACTCCCTTCTGCTGTGCAAGTCTTGACTTAAATGGAGCTTGTGTTGAAAGATCATTGCAAACTTTCAAGTTATAGACTCTCATCCGAAATAGACAACATGTTACCTTGGTGATCTCGATAAGGCGTTGTTTTGAACCAGGAGAGGATGTGCAAATTTTCCTGTAACAAAAAAAATAAATGGTTGAGCTTATAGTACTCATTTGGGGACTAAGAATTTTAGTTAAAAAATCAAAAGAAAAATGCTTGGGAGCACTAATTAGTGTTCCCACTAATTAGGTGGCAGTGGGTCCCGCCATTATGATGTGATGTTTTGGTCTTGGAGTTGTATTTTTTTTTTTTACTTTTTTAATGCATTAGTGTTATTAGTGGTGATGTTTTTAGTGGGATGAATCATTGTTGAAATCAAATGTTTTGAACCAAGAGAGGATGTGCGAATTTTCCTGTAACAAAAAAAATAAATGGTTGAGCTTATAGTACTCATTTGGGGACTAAGAATTTTAGTTAAAAAATCAAAAGAAAAATGCTTGGGAGCACTAATTAGTGTTCCCACTAATTAGGTGGCAGTGAGTCCCGCCATTATGATGTGCTGTTTTGGTCTTGGAGTTGTATTTTTTTTTTTAAACTTTTTTAATGCATTAGTGTTATTAGTGGTGATGTTTTTAGTGGAATGAATCATTGTTGAAATCAAAAAGTCATTGTAAGTTGTCACATCACTCTCTATTTGTCTGCACATCTTTTCGTAAAAATTCAAAAAAAAATTCTCATAAAAACCGTGTAATTAAATTGAGACTGTGGCCTCATTTGAGAACATGTTTTTTTAGTAACTTTTTGAATTTTTAGCTAAAATATGATATAAAAAAAATAGTATGTTTGGGATGAATTTTTAGGGTTGGTTTGGGATGTTTTAAAAAGTGCACTTTTTATTGGCTTATATGGGTTGGGTTTGGGTTGGATTTGATGTGATGTGTTAGAGAGGTGATGTGATTTAAATAAGATGATGTGACTTAAATAGGATAGTGACTTTTTGTATTATTTAGGGGTTGTTTGGGATGACCTAAATAAGTGCACTTTTTATCTTTTTACAAAAAGATGTGCAGAAAAATAGAGAGATGGTGTGATGGAAAAAAGATAAAAAGATAAAAAGTGTGTACTTATTTAGGATAGCCAAACTTGGCCTTAGTTTATGTCAAACCAACTCTTAATTTTTTACGAAAAGAAGTTCAAAAAGTAGAGAGAAAATAGAATTTTGACTTTTTTGTATAAGTTGTTGATTTTTTAATTTTTTTAGTAACTTTTTGAATTTTAAGCTAAAAAGTGATGTTATCAAACGAGGCCTGAGTTTGATTGTTGCTTCTTTTTTTTCATATAGCAATTTTTACTTTTTTATTTTATTTTTTTGGGATAAAATTATTGTCAAAAAATGTGTTTGACTAATGGTAAAAACAAATTTTTTAAAATTTTTGAAAAATTTATGTAATTTAATATATATTTTTTCAATTGTCAACTAAATACAAAAAAATGCCGTAACCAATATACAATTTGTGAAATGGGTATGGTTTCTGTCCAGTTCCAGACTGGACCGTGCTGTTGGGTTCGTGGGAGTTCACGGATTTCGTTTTAATAATCTGAACCGTTTAATATGTAGAAATCGTCAAGTACTATATGCCTGTAAAAAATCACGTTCCCAACAACGTACCCAACAGCACGATCCAATCCGATCCCAGACTGAACAGAAGCCATACCCGAATGAAAGAAAAGTGAATCAGAAAATAAAAAGGCCTGTAATAAGCCGTGCATGTATTATTGTTCATTATGTGAAAGAGTACTACTAGGGTCGTCTTTCTGCAGAAATGTACCTATTATTTGCCTTCTAAGAATGTCAATCTCGTTTTCACCTCAGGATCATTGCTGGTCGAGAGGATTGAAATAGAATTTAAAAATATATATATGTATATAAGATTTAAATATATTTTATTTATTTATTTATTTATTTTATTATTTTTTTAAAATTTTTAAACCAAACACAACGTTAGTGAGTTTGTTTGGGAAGTGGGTTTCCTTTTTAACTTTTTAGCTATTTTAGTCTGTGACTAAAAAGTTTCGTTTGAGATAAGTTTTTTGACTTTTTGTAAGAAAAAGAATATAATGATTATAGATTAAATATGATATTTTATTTTATTAGGCTAAAAAATCTATTTTATATTTTTTTGACTAAAATAAGTTCAAACCCAACCCAACCTAACCCAGGCTGCCAAACGACGACAGTGTAATTTGCAAGTTTGATTTCTCATCCTACAAATACATAATTTTTGTACAATAAATCATTCAGTTAAATAGTGAGCCACTCTAGTTTTTTTTTTTTTTTTTTGAAATGAAATAAGTATAAAAATCATATGATCATTTTAGTACCAAACAGACAGGGGACAACACTTTCCGCAGGGAAACCATGGTACAAAGGAGCCATTTGGAACATATAAAAAAAAAGTCAAAAGTGAGCTTTTAAACAATTTTAGATCATATTATTTCTCACATAAAAAAATTAAAAAAGTTAAAAAATTAATTTTTAATCATCTTTTTAAAACATCACAAAATGTAAATGCGTTGACCTAACAAGAATACACCAAACAACCAGGGGATGTATTTTGGCCTTCTGGTGCATTGAATTTCCTCATAGCAATTGACATAGGTGGGCCCATAGGGGCTCTTGGTCTACCACTTAGAGCTCAATCCACGGTTTAAACACTGAAGCCCAACGTTGCACCAAGAATCAATGGCATCTCGACACTTGTCAAGAGGAGAACCAGCCATGTAAGTAGACAAAGATCCTCCAGAGTTATTGCACCACACATTAGCCATTAATGAGGCCCCAACAGCATTAAATGCGATAACCCCTTCACGTCGAAATAGAGCAGCCTCACCATGGACAAGGCAAGGTAGAGCATAGACTTTCGGCCAACATAACAGGTCGGAGGGGACAAGGAAATGATGAACAAAGGGCATAAGGAGGTTTCCAAGACACGAAGAAGATTAAGTTCCTTATCATTACCTATCTCTACATTCCATTAATCTCTCTCTTCCAACTTGCTCGTCGGAAGGTTCGTTGGGGGACTCTCGTTCCCGTTGGACTTTTGTACAGGTATCTCAGTGAGCCCAGCGACCGGACAACGGTGTGAGAGGCGTGGATCAGCCCGACCCCTCCCTCAGGACAAGTAGTATCATCAGTTGGCGCCGTATGTGGAAAACTTTCACTCCGCGTGACAATTGTGCTCATTATTGCCAGAGACCCGTTCCCGATAATTCCTCCTTGCCACCCACCAAGGTGGATGGTCATAACGAGATCCATGGTTTCTCAACACAACGTTGCCGACCCCC